TAATTTACAACATGTTGTAAATTCTATTCTATTAATTTACAACATGTTGTAAATTCTATTGTGTCTGAGCTAACTGACGAGCAGCAGAATTCTTCTGCTTCCACCCATGCTGGGTTGCTGGAATTGTGTAGTTGAAAAGAGAGAAATATTCAACAGTAGCATGGCATCTATAGCTTGTCTTAGCCCTTCTTAGCTCACTTAATTTTATGTACTAACATAAAATTAAACATTTTGTATCTAATGAACCTACGTTTGTGAGTGAACAAGTTTAAATTGATCTTTTTTCGTGTCTGAGTCTTCCATCTTTTTTGAGTATGTCAATTTCTCTGTTTTTCTGCAGACTTACGTCGGTTTCATTATCTATAAAAACCCCTCTTTAAATAAATCTGAAATATGCTTTTAATGTTTTTTATATGATCTGATTCATGTGTTCGGTTTTGTCTGTGTTTGAATTCTAGGATTCCACAGCTGTGAAGATGACACCATGACATTAGGAGGAACATATGGATCTCCAGCACCATATTTCTCATGATGATGCACACTCACTCTGGGAAGGAAGGCTTTGCTCCACTATACCCCTTCCAGAAATGTGGGACATTAACACACTTCTCTACTGCGTCATGGGGGTTCTAACTCATCAGAGACGGTGCTAATGGAGGGCGTCCCCATGGCGAACACGTCCCTGGGCTCTGGGTCCGCGCCGCAGCCAGTCGCCCCGACAGGGAAGTCCTCAGCAATGGCCCCAGGCCTCGGCCTACCTCTGCAGGTCTTCTTCAGCCTCGTCATGGCAACCATCCTACTGGTGGCCCTTGCAGGAAATGTGGTGGTGTGCCTGATGGTGTACCAGAGATCCGCCATGCGCTCCGCCATCAACATCCTCCTGGCCAACCTGGCGTTTGCAGACATGATGCTGGCCATCCTCAACATGCCGTTCGCTTTAGTCACTGTTATGACCACCACCTGGATCTTTGGGAACACTTTCTGCCGGGTGTCTGCCATGCTCTTCTGGTTGTTTGTGATTGAAGGTGGAGCTATTTTGCTTATAATAAGCATTGATAGATTTCTGATTATTGTCCAGAAACAAGACAAGCTCAGCCCACAGAGAGCCAAGCTGCTCATTGTGATCACCTGGGTGCTCTCTTCGGTTTTCTCCTCCCCTCTGGCTGTAGGTTCCCCTCGCCTGCAAATCCCCCCCAGAGCCCCTCAGTGTGTTTTTGGTTACAGCGCTGACCCAGGATATCATGCTTACGTCTTGATCCTCATGCTAGTTTTCTTCTTCATACCTTTTCTGGTCATGCTGTTCACATTCATGGGGATCCTGAACACCATCCGCCACAATGCCATCCGCATCCACAGCCACCCAGACAGCATGTGTCTGAGCCAGGCCAGCAAGCTGGGCCTGCTGAGCCTCCAGAAACCCTTCCAGATGAACATAGACATGAGCTTCAAGACCCGTGCCTTCACCACCATCCTCATTCTTTTCTCTGTATTTACAGTGTGTTGGGCGCCCTTTACTGCCTACAGTCTGGTGACTACTTTCAGTTTTGGCTTTTACCACAAAGACAGTTTTTTCCAAATCAGCACGTGGCTCCTGTGGTTGTGCTACCTCAAGTCTGCCCTGAACCCTCTCATCTACTACTGGAGGATCAAAAAGTTCCGAGATGCCTGCCTTGATCTGATGCCCAAATACTTCAAGTTTCTTCCTCAACTGCCGGGCAACACCAAGAGACGCATCCAGCCCAGTGCTGTGTACATATGTGGAGAGCATCGCTCTGTGGTTTAAAGGGAAAATCCACTCTTATAATATTGTTAGAAACCCTACTTTGAATCCATGTAACTTGCATTTGAGGTTGCTTGGTTCTTTATTTCTCTCAGTAGAAGCTCAGGCTGAAAGTAGCACTTCTTTGAAAAGCCAGGGGGCTGAGTAGCTGCTGAAGGGACAGACTCCTAGATCCTTAGAAGATCTGTTTGGAGTATTCTCATGTGCAGTCTGATATGAGAGCACTGCAGTTACCCAGGGGTTTAATCTAGGGATGCACGCATATCTGATATTAATACTGCTATTATGGGTGTTAACTGATATTTACAGATATTTTATATATTATATGCATTTCCATACACTTTTGACACTGTGTAAAAGCGACCTCACAACCTACATTGCTTTTCTACTTTAAACTCCTCATAATTTTTTGCTGCATCACTGTCAAGTAAATACTACATAGCCAACAACCTCCCCCTCTTGAAACACACAGTCACCAAGATGAAAGGAAATGTTGGTCGTTTAAATTTTTCAGCATTTCTATGTTTTTTTCTAGAAAACATGGATTTAATCTCAAATCTTTTTCTCAAACATTTTTGACAGTTTGATTCTGGTAGTGTGTGCTACCTGAACCTAAAGCCCCCACCTAAACCTAAAATGGGGATGATGGTAGGAGTCCTGCAGGATGATGTCCTGCAATCGGTGGTTTGCCCGTTCAAGTCCCACTCTGTCCACTTCTGTCGATGAGTTCTTGGCTAAGATACTTCACCTGGATTGCTTGCTGATGGTGTTCAGTGGTGCATTGGCAGCCTCTGTAAGTGTGCCCTAGGGCAACTGTGGCTTACCATCACCACTGTGTGAAAGGGTGAATGTCTGAATGTAGTGTGAAGTGCTTCAGTGTCCTCAGGACTTCACACTATACAAGTACAGGTCATTTACCAAAGCCCCCACAATGCTGTGCTTCTATCAGTCACCACCATCCAAAAAGGAAATGAGAAAGCTTGTTTCCTTTTTGAAACAAGCTTTTCCTTTTTTCAGTGACTCCTCGTCAGGAGTTGCAGCTTGCAATTAATCTCATCACATCAGAACCTGTTGTTTACAGGCTGTGTGTACAGATGGATGCAGTTGGAGAACAGCAGTGATAAGTTGACAAAAGTCAACTTATCACAGCTATGATAAGTTGACTTATCAACTTACCAGTCTGTTGCTTGGTGACTGAGCAGGAAGAAGTGATATTCAGACCTAAACATGTCCTTCGAGATTAAAATTTCTGCCATTCATTTCTACAAATGCAATCAAACTTTAAAATGGAACATAGAAAAAAAAAACTCCATCACAGTGCTTCAGAAGTGATTTGCAGTGCAGGGTGTTTGAATGTTGGAGCATCTTATTTTTATGTTGTTAGTCACTCAACTGGTACTGAAGAAGAAGCAAATGGGAAAGAAGCAGGAAGGTGGATCTTAAATCCCCACTGTTGGGAGTGGGGTCTGAGTCATTTCCTTCAGGTTTGATGAAGAAAATATCAAACCAGGTAAAGAGCAGGTTATTCACACTACAAAACTCTAAATTTGACTGTGTGTTTTTAGTGGTTTGTGTGGTTTAAAGCCTCCCATGCACCCACAGTGGTGGTGACAATGTTAGGACTTTGTCTACAAAATCGGTGGGTTGCCGGTTCAAGTTGCTCTGAATATCTGTTGATGTGTGTGTTATTCTATCTGTCTTTGCGTTGTTGGGCAAGGTACTTTACTCACCTTGCCTGCTAATGGTGGTCAGATGATGATTATATTGATTTTAAACAAAGGCAACTCAACACTGCCTTGATTTGAAGGAACTCTGTGTTTTAACAGTTGTTCAATTTTGATCTTCAGTGGTTCTAACCTGTCATTGGTTATAAACAGGCACTGGTCCTAAGCAGTGCCTGGTTATGGCATAGTATAGTAGATGTTAGGGTTCTACTACCATGTTTTCAGAAATATCCTACCTTCCATCTTCATGCATGTTTACGTTTACATCTCCCATTGAAATTGTTATCTCTCCCAGTCTTAAATCTTGAAGCTCACTGTGTTGGTGAAAGTGGAAGTGTGGTTGCATTTTGAGTCTGAATATGCATTTGAAATTATTCCCAGCTTGAATTATCAAACAACCATTAAAATCATCTTAAATCAAAGACACTTTGACACTTCAGTGGCTGCTTTTGTATTAGAAAAGTTTTATTCTAGTAAGAATTGAGTCCATGTACAGCTTTCAAGTCTATTATACGTTTGAACCAAAGTTGCATTGAAACGTAAGAAACTATATGAGACTTTGGCCAAAATTAAGCAATATGTCCACAGGCACAGGAACTGTGGTATCTTCTCTCTTAAACAAATTTACACAGCTGGAATTAGACAAAAATAGAATAAAGCTTTGTAGGGGTCTTATAAACAATAATTTTACTATTTGAGTATTGTATCCATTATTCTGTTGATTAAGCGAGTAACTGAATAAAAAATTTGACAAAATAAAATATTGGCACATACTGCCATAACAGCAGCATTAATATTAGTTATCAACCTTGGCCCAAATTTATGTATTTGTGCATTTATTGCAATTACTTTCCTGTAGCTTAAAAAATTATAATAACAGCTGACTAATTTAACTTCGACAAAAATTCTGCCAAAATCTTAAATTATATTCAGTTTAATAATAAAGCAGCAGGCTCACAAAGACACATAAAAAATGTCTATCATCTTCAGTCAATTTAATAGGTGAAGTCTCACTTTGCCCAACCACTTCTAGCTTTTGTGTCCAAGTGCACGACGGGATTTGGCACCTTTCGTTACACACAAAAACAAGTATGTTGCTACTCTTTTGTTGTGACTGGAATGGTAGTAAATTTATTTTCTGGTTTGTCTGTAAAGCTACACTTACGCTAAGCATCAGCTACAGGAGCCTGCTGAGTTCTGTCTATCTGCATCAGTCTTTGCTCCACCTGTATTCATATACTCACTATGCTCCGAACCAGCCACTAGGCAAAAGAACTGCTATCATACTCCATGCCAGTGATTTTCATGCCAGTCTTTGGTGTCCCGATAAACGCTAAAAGCCGGACTTTATCATCAATTAATGAAATCCCCTTGGATGCCTCGGAAAAACTTGAAAATTGGAGGTTATGCTACTAGCATAACCTGAACAGGAGCTACAGGAAGCTGGAAGTGAGAATGTTACGCAACAAAAATAACCACCTGTCTGTAACACACTGCGCTAAATATTAAAACATAACTTAACAAAGCTTCGAGGCAAATAATGTGCCTCGAGGAATTTTAATAATCAAGGTACTGAAACCATTTGAGTACCTCAAATTATTCTTGACAGTTTGATCACTTTCTTCTCCACATCTCAGCTTCTCTGGAGACCAGCATTTAAAGAAGTAGATTTTTCCGAAAAGCAAATAAAAAGACTTTCTGAACCAGGAATGCACTGAATGACCTGTGCTCTGTGAGAGAGTAATGTTTGGAAAGTAAAGGAGAGGCTGACTTTATTGATCCTGCCTGTGTCCTTGCATTGAAAATGAGTCAATGGTGGGGAAACAGCGTGTACAATAGTGGAGTTTTTTTTTGTTTTTGAAGCATGCAAATGAACAGCTGAAGTGCCACAGCTTATTTCAAATGTATATTTCTATTTTAATGTTTTTATTGTGCCTATTAGTTAGTCTGTTGCCAGTCAGAATGCTGCTATTATCTGGTGAAAATGTGCAATTTTGGTGTACTGTACTGTTGAATGTAATAAAGACCTAGACATTTCTTACATTGGTAAACGGTCTTCGGTGACTTTTTGCTTGTTTTTCTGCTTCCGTGTGTCTGGGCAGTCTAGGCATTTGAATTTTTTAATGCAGTAATCGGGATTGTTGAACTATATAATTTTATATCTCAGTTGCTTTCTTTTGTATTTTTCATATCATAATGACTTTATTAGGGTTAGTATTTTTTTTAGACTAACCCTAGTCTAAAAAAAAAGCTAGCTAAAAAACAGGCGACGTTCCCCCATCAAGACAGGTCCAGTCTGTCTTGATGGGGGCAGACCCCCAGCGGAAGAATGGTCCTGAATAAACGGGAAGCAGTATGTTCCGGTTTGATGCAGCATTTAACTTCACATTTGTATTCAAATTTGATACAGATTTTAAGGTGGCTATACGACTGATGTCAGAGTCTGGTCCGCATTGCAGGAAGTAAGTTGGGCTCGATACTGGTGAAAGTTGGTCTCCACAAAAGCTACCCTTTGTCACTGATTCTGTTCATAACTTTTGTAGACAGAATTTCTAGCCGCAGTCAAGGTATTGAGGGGATCCATTTCGGTGGCAAAATCTGAAAAAAGCAGATTTCAGATCTGCTTTTTTCAGATCTACTGGCTTCATCAGATCGTGGTATATATCTTTTGCTGGAGCGGTTTGCAGTCGAGTGTGAAGTAGATGGGATGAGGATCAGTGCCTCCAAAATGTGAGCCCATGGTCTTGAGCCGGAAAAGGGTAGAGTGCCTTCTTTGGGCCAGGTCATGAATTGTCATGATAGACACGCTGTCATGTCTGAGGCACATAGTGTGGATGCTCATACTAAAAAATAAAATTATTTTATTGGGAAGAGTCTGTAACTGTAACAGTGAAAATTAATTTAGGATATTTTCATGTTTCTTTAGTGGAAAGTATTTATTTTTCTTGATAAAAAAGAAGAAAAATCTTACATTGATTAGTAAAGCTAACAATCCCCACAATTTGGACGGTTTTGGCCTGGCTCATTAGCAGAACATCATTAGCTGTAATTTATTGTTACAAAGATCAATCAAAATTATCATAAGAAATGTATCACAATAAATGATAAATTATATGATATAAGTCCACCACTTGACATCACAAAGCTACCCCTAACCCTAACCCTAACCCGTTAACGCTCCTGCTAAGGTTTCTTTCAGCACCTTGGGAAGCTGAAAGAAAAAATGCCCACGTGCTGGCACTTGCAATTCAGTCAATTCAGGTCTGTTGTTAATTTTCCCAGGTTCTGACTGGCTGTACTTTATCTGTGTGGTTATACTTTGTGTCTAGGAGATGTTAGCAGATGGTAAAAAGCAGCTACTCGCTTAAGTTTGCTTAAGCAAACCTGGACCCTCAGCTATTGAGACATGATTACTTAATGTAGGTATGACTGAAATGCGGTTATTAGGGTTAGGGATAGGGTTAGGGTCTTTCAAATATTTAAGATGTGTTTTAGAAAAAAAAATCCACAAATTGGCTAATTTTACACAAAGAATTTTGAGTTACCAGAATTCCAAAAAAAATCTGGATTAGGGAATGTTAAATTTAGTCCATATCTGTAGTCCAGTAACAAATCCCCAAGAATGTGACTTGGTCTGAACTCCTCTTGAGTGGCTACAGACCATAGCCAAAAGATTTCCATGTCACTAAAAATTATATGGCAAAGACTCGACAACAGGTGCGTTTCCAATGACCATATTGACGTTTGACTAATTTGACTTTTCAAAGATAAATTTGCTTAATGGAAGCATCCATCCATCTATCCATTTTCTTCTGCTTATCCGGGATCGGGTTGCGGGGGTAGCAGCTTAAGAAGGGAGACCCAGACTTCCCTCTCCCCAACCACTTGTTCCAGCTCTTCAAGGTGTTCCCAGGCCAGCCGAGAGACATAATCCCTAGTCCTGGGTCTTCCCCAGGGCTTCCTCCCGGTGAGACATGCCTGGAACACCTCACCAGGGAGGCATCCAGGAGGCATCCTGACCAGATGCCTGAGCCACCTCAACTGGCTCCTCTCAACGTGAAGGAGCAGATGACTGAGCTTCTCACCCTATCTCTAAGGGAGAGCCCAGCCACCCTATGGAGAAAACCCATTTTGGGAGCTTGTATTCAGGATCTCGTTCTTTTGGTCATGACTCAAAGCTCATGACCATAGATGAGGGTAGGAATGTAGATCGACCGATAAACTGAAAGCTTTGCTTTTTGACTCAGCTCTCTATTCACCACAACGGACCGGTACAGCGGCCGCTTCACTGCAGATGCTGCACCCATCTGCCTGTCAATCTCCCGCTCCTTTCTTCCCTCATTTGTGAACAAGATCCCGAGATTCTTAAACTCCTCCACTTGAGGCAGGACGACCCCCTCCGAGCCGGAGAAGGCACTCTACCCTTTTCTGGCTCAAGACCATGGCCTCGAATTTGGAGGCACTGATCCCCATCCCGGCCACTTAACACTCGGCTGCGAGCCGCTCCAGTGAGAGCTGCAGATCACGACCTGATGAAGCCAACAGGACCACATCATCTGCAAAAAGCAGAGATGCAATCCTAAGGCCACCAAAATGGATCCCCTCACGACCTCAGCTGCGCCTAGAAATTCTGTCCACGAAAGTAATGAACAGAATCGGTGACAAAGAGCAGCCTTGGCAGAGTCTAACTCTCACTGGAAATGAGCCCGACTTAGTGTCGGCAATGCGGACCAGACTCTGATACCGGTCGTACAGGGACCTAACACCCCATATCAAAACGCCCAGTACCTATACTCCCACAGGAACCTCCACAGGGTTCCCCGAGGGACACAGTCAAATGCCTTCTCCAAGTCCACAAAACACATGTAGACCGGTTGGGCGAACTCCCATTCACCCTCCAGGACCCTGCTGAGGGTGTAAAGCTGGTCCAGTGTTCCACGACCAGGACAAAAACCACATTGCTCTTCCTGAATTCGAGGCTCGACTGTTATGATTCATGTCCTGTCCATGCTGTGTTAAGCACTCATTCAGTTCACCTGCCACGCCTGATTGCTTACCTGTTCCACCTGGGCCTTGCCCTACTTAAACACCCCTCAGCCTCTGCTTCCTTGCCAGATTATCGACAGCCACGAGCCAGTAGAGATCCAGCGTTTCCTTCCAAGCCTTCAGTGTTTCTTCGACCCCCCCTTCTGACCACGGATTTACCCCTCCTGCCAAGCCCCTCACGGATCCCTTCTATTCTGGATTTCTGGACCCTGACCCAAGCTCTGCCTCTTGACCACCGATTACTGCCTGCCCCTCAAAACTAAGTTTGTTCTCTCTGTCCTCCTGTGTATGACCTCAGCCTGATACTTGACAAAGTCCCTGGGTGTCGCATTTTGGATCTCCCCGTGGAGATCTTCATTGCCTCCTCAGAACCCTGTTCCATTGGTTTCCTGCATCTCCCTGTCATCGGACCCTCTGTTCCTCTGCTCCGCCCGTCCATTGCTCTACAGGTCAGTTAAGCTGAACATTTCTCAGATACCCCTCCTTTATCCGTGCATCACCAGTCTTCTCCCCTCTCTCCTCAGTGCTGTGTTGATGACCTCTCCCTGAGCAGAAACCAGTATAAGAAAAAAAACTTTTTCCCTTTTTGTATACTCCTGTGTGTGGTTGAATTTCCGGGTCCCCTCTGAGTGTCCTTACACTCGACTATCTGACGGACCCTCATCTCCAGGACCCCTGAATAGACCTTTCCAGGGAGGCTTAAGATTGTGGCCCCTCTGTAATTGGAGCACACCCTTTGATCCTCCTTTTTAAACAGTGGGAATGCCCTGAATTGGAAGACTGACAATACAAAACAAGTTGTTTTTTTTTTTATCTTTGTTTGTTCAAAACTGCAATGGAAATACTTTTTTTGCATCACAAGTCATGATCAACAACCAAATTTTGCTGCTGGCACAAACCACGAAGAAGAAGACAACAGGAAGCATAAACAAACTTCCTTGTAAGAAATTTCATAAACAAACTTCCTTGTAAGAAATTTCGCAACATATCAATTGCGAAATTGTGTTTTTCGACAGGTTACATGACACTACATTCGAACATGCATGGAGAAAAGTATGATTATCCAAAATATACAATAAAAATGTACTTACTTCCCATATCTACCAAGTAGGGAAAATTTGAAATAATGTACCAATGTTATGAGATTATTAAAAATCTCGATTTTGGCTTAATAAATTAAAAAATGAATCCATTTTTTTTTCTTCAATTTTTATTTCAAACAATAAAACGAACTGCCTGAAAATTCCTTCACGACAGAGCTTACCTGCTTATCCAATTTCAGACAATTGTCAAAAATGACACCAAAATTTCTAATAGCAGGAAGGAACCAAGAATTGTATCTTCTATTTATAAGGCTCTTTTGTACAAACAAAATAACTTGAGTTTTATTTAGATTTAAGTGAAGAAAAATTTGGTTCATCCATTAACTTCTGTTAAGCAATCTGTTAAAGACTGTAGGGAATCATCTTTATGTAGTTTCTTGAGGGGCATGTATATTTTGTACATCATCAGCAAAGCAGTGAAAAGAGATATTAAATTTCTTATAAATATATCCACGGTGAAAATATCCTGCACTTTTCCTATCAGTCAAAGCCTGATTGGATGTGGACTGGTGTGATCTGCTGAAAGAGACAGCAATTGTTGAACAGAGTTTGATTTGCACCTAACTTGTAATTTGAAAGAATGGGTGCCGTTAATAATTTTTCTCTGTGGGACTCATTATGCAGCCAGCAGAGAGCATGTCCAGAGCTTTAAAGCTCATTTTAATCAGACCACTGAAGAGCATTACTAGGCAACAGGAACTTGTGGATGTCTTCAGAGGATGCATGATGACGGTGAATGGAGTCATGTAAACCATACAGATGAAGTCAGACTCTTATCTCCCCATATATCGCTACTTTCTGTCATCTGAATCAGAAAGACAGGATGTTCTTTGTTTAACATTGTGACTGAATTTTATTCTGTTTGGCTTTTAAAGGGAAACAGAGAATTCAACTGTATTAGGATACCACCTGTGCAACAAGTTTTGAAATTTCTTCTCTTTCCACAGTGAACTGTATTATAAGAAAATGGAAGTGGTTAGTCATGACAACTTAGCCACAAATCTGTAGGCTACATAAACTATGCTGAAGTGCATAGTTTGAAGATGTCAGCAACTTTCTGCAGAGTCCATCACTATCGACCTCCAAATTTCATGTGACCTTCAGATTAGCTCAATAACAGTACACAGAGAGCTTCATGAAATGGGTTTCCATGGTGGAGCAGCTGCATCCAAGCTATACATGACCAAGTGCAATATAAAGCATCAGATGCAGTGGTGTAAAGCTGGATTCTAAAACAGTGTTACTCCGCGTTTTCTGGAGTAAAAAATCACGTTTCTCCATCTGGCAAGTCTAGGTTTGGAGGTTGCCAGTACTTGTCTGACTGCATGGTGCCACGTGTAAAGTTTGGCACAATGGAGTGGAGTTGTTTTTTTCAGGAGCTGGGCTTGGCCCCCTTAGTTTCAGTGAAAGGAACTCTGAATGCTTCAGCATACCAAGACATTTTGAACAATTTCATGCTCCCAACTTTTTGGGAACATTTTGGAGCTGGTCCCTTCCTCTTCCAACATGACTGTGCACAAAGCAAAGACAGAGTCTGGTGTGGATGAACTTGACTGGCCTGCAGAGTCCTGACCTCAATCCGATAGAACACCTTTGGGATGAATTACAGACTGATATTGTATGAGAAGAGCCAGGCCTTCTCATCCAATATCAGTATGTGACCTCAGAAATGTGCTTCTGGAAGAATGGTCAAAAATACCATAAAGGTAAAGGAAGGTACATTTCCAGCAACAAGGCAGTTCAAAATGCTTTACATAAAGGAAATACAAACAAAACAATAAAAACAAAAGTAAGACAAGAAGATAAAGTACAAAACTAAATATTGCTTCCACAGGTATGGCGGAATTTTTCTGCCAAGAGCACACATTTTCAGTCTGAAAGCAGGACTTCATATATTTCTTCTCAAAACTTCTCTTCACGCTCAGACTTAGTCTCTGTTCGGACTCTGCTTGCTTTTGGAAATCTCTCAGTCAATAAAATGAAAGCGTTGTACTGGGTGCGTTTGTTTCCTTCTAGTGGGTGTGCCTGTGTGGCTACTATCGATTGTAGGAACCTGCGCCACCCACAGAGAGAAACAACGGCCTCAGCTTTCTGCTCCATGTTACACTAAACATCTGCCAGCAGTCACTAACAGCCTTCTGATCTTAGGCATGAGTTCACCCAACCAACTCCCTACATCTAGTGGTGATTAAGTAAACTAACATGAGTTTCTCTATGTCATGCTTCAATATTAAAAGTATAAAGCTGTTGGTCTAAAGCAGGGGTGCCCAAAGTCGGTCCTGGAGGGCCGACACCCTGCATGTTTTAGTCTCTCCCTGGTGGTAGTAAGAACCTGTTCAGTATGTCAATGTTCTTCTTAGGCCTCTAATGAGCCATCATTTGAACCAGGTGTGCTAAACCAGGGAGAGAACTAAAACATGCAGGATGCCGGCCCTCCAGGACCGACTTTGGGCTCCCCTGGTCTAAAGTAATAAGTAGTACTCCACAATTTCAGAAGGTGATAAACTAAACAGACAGTCAGGGCAAAGAAATGACACATCAAGAAGGATAAAGCACATGCAGCAACATTCAAACATGAGCCAATAAAGGGAGTGAGGTCAGGGAGTGAGTATCTGTGGCCATGAGATGTGTTTGCAGTAGGTCCATGATAATTTCTCACAGGGACAGTCTCTGGGACAGGGTTAGGGTTAACATCAGTCGTCATAAAGTGCTTCAAGATGCTAGTCAAGACCCACATCTATGATTTTGATTCAGTCTGGTGTCTCTGGATGCTACTCAGCCTGAGGGAAAGGGCTGGAACAGACTGTGCATAATGGGTGGAGTCTTTCATGATGTGGAACTCGTGCGTCGTAGAGGTCTCCTCCTTGAAGAGTTTCCTTGTCCCTTCTGAAATCCACCACCTTCGTCTTCATGCTGAAGCAAAAGTTATTTTCTGCACCAGGTGTTTCACCTTCTCTTTGTATTTGGACTCGTGATGCATCATATAGTGAATTTTGTCTTCAGCAAATTTCACTATATGACAGCTGGGATGTTTTGCCGAGCAGATATGTATCAGCAGAGTGAGGAGGAGGGGGCTTAGTATGCAGCCCTGCGACGATCCAGGGTGGAGCGATGGAAGGAAGAGCCATGGAAGCTCTTCCTTCCATCTCTCGAGGAGGAGGGAGACTTCAGACCTCTACACATCACGATGCAGGAGTTTCACATCATGAAGGACTTCACCTATCCTGCACACAGTCTGTTCCAGCCCCTTCCCTTAGGCTGAGGAGCATCCAGAGTCACCAGCCTGAGAAACCTGCAGCTGAACTCCAGCGTCCTGAACTCAAGCTGCACTTAATTAGCTACATCTTACTTTTTAAAAATGTATTAATTTATTTACACACAGTATATGTGTGTAAATAAACACACATATACCACTTACACACAGTATATATCTAAATAAGTATTTATTATTTAGACTTGTTAATCTTGGTCCAGAGTTCAAATTTCGCACCCCAAGCAACCATTGTGTATTGTCAAACCATTTAAAAATGGCATGACAATAAAATTGTTTGAATACATTTTTGTATGGTTATATACAACTCCCCCCTCCAACAAAAAAAATATGTATATTCCTGTAATAATTGACTATGATTTCCAGTTTTTCATCAAAGAAATGAGAGCAATCCAAGAAATTACAGGGAACAGAAAAGCTGAGCGGAATGGTTTTATATTAAACAATGTGTTATACATTAGGAAATATATTAGGAGGAAAAAGCCTCAGATGTTAATTCAGTGTAATGTAGTTAAATTCCATAATGACAGCCAAAGCAGTTTTGCCAACACAAAGCCCAGCTTCCCATGTGACTGCAGCATGTTCAGTGTGGAGGCAGACACGCTGCATCCATGGAGGAGGAGGCAGTACTGAGCAGGGCTTTGCATCTGTGAAGTCATCATACAAATTGCACATGCTCAAGATTGCCATGGAAACAAGTTTCTCTTATCAGAGGCCAGTTTCTTTTTTTTTTACTTGTCTCTTATGGTTTCTTCTTTGACACCCAATGATAAATGTCTGAGGAATTTCAATTTAAAAAGGATGAGTGGTTCAAAAACAGAGCCACCTACTCTCAGAAGATGATTCACATATAAAATAAATCTGCAAATGATCTCCACTTCTCACATGCGTTCATATTATTCTGTTGGTTAGTTTTTATTTGTTTCTCTAGGTTCTCGAATGCTGACACAGATGAGCAATGGACTTTTATCCTCCTTGATTAAATGAGAAAACCTACTTAGTACTTATAGGTTAACAGAGCAAAGTGGCAGTGTGGCTATGGATGACATGTAAAGGAATGTAAAAGTCTTTTTGCCATCCAATCGCCAGTCTAATCTGCGTAAATAGATTAGACACCTCTAATCTGTAGGTAGTGTGGTTTTATGAATTAATAAAATAATAAAAATCTATTTAGTTTATTTATATAGCGTTCACAACAAATACCTTCTTGAGGCACTTTACAAAAAATTATTTAAATTCAATCACACAAACATTCCAATTGATGTGAACTATAAAACATTATTTAAAATTGGTGTAAAAAGTTTCTATCTGAGGTCTATCACACCTCCAGGACCAGAACATCGTGCTTCATGTAGGCATCAATGGTGCAGGATTTAGGTTTAAATCCTGTCTGACAAATTCCAGTTTCCTCATGTGAAC